CATGTGATTGTTTATGGTAAACAAGAAAATCTGGTAAGCACTTGGACCTTGGCTTGCATTAAAAAATCTTGCAGCAGTGTTCACAACGATACATCAATACTGCACTTGAGTAGAAATATTATCAATGTTAGATTATTGAACTGAAAAAAGAGATTAAATAGAAATGTTGGTATAGTGGGAAAATCAGAAACCATCATGCTAAAATTTGCACATTTTTGACATTATCCTATAATTGTATTAAGTTATACTGAGAGGTAGTGTAGCTTAACAGAAGCAACATGAGGAAACTTCAGTGTCAGGGACAGGAATTGGGCACAATTCCAGTTTCATTGCTCACTAGTAGGTGACTTGGGGCAAATTTTATAAGCTCACTGAGTCTCGGGAATCCTCTATTTAAAATAAGCATATTATCTGTGGTGTCAAATTGTTAGGGGGTATAATAGACAGCACACATCAAATACAATGTAAGTATCATCTGATGCATAACACTAGATTCTTTATCACAGTTGAAAAGTACTTCATTATTGCACACAAATATTTTAAGCCCCTTTAATGCTGTGCTTTCGTTCATTTTAAGACTTCCTACACAAATACATGAAGGATGAAAATCTGCTCCAGTGAGAACTGCTGGATCTTACACTGTAGCACACTGCTGGCTCTGCCTACTGAATTACCATCTTGCCCTTCCTCAAGTGCACCCTTCTTACTTTCTAGCATATCTTGGAGCATAATCTGTCAGAAAACAGTCTGCTAGAAAGTACAATACCAGTAAGCCCACTAATTTCACACATCTTTTTGTTTTCGAGAAGAATCATCTAGAACCCGTCAATCACACAGTCAAGATCTTGTCCCGGACTAAACTGAGCTAGCTGATTGGATCACCCGCACCAGTTCTACCAATTTAGAAAAATCCTAAAGATAAGCTTTATCATTGGAACTCTTTGTCTTTTTACTGAATCAACAGAGAGCTTTATCTGAAAGGCTGGGGCAAGCAGATCACTCAAATCATAGCATCTGATTTCTTTTTATGTCTCCTTCTGCATGTCATATATCCATTTTATAATTACTCTGGGCCTCAATTTCCATATTTCTTCAATGTTCGTCACACAGTCCCCAGGGTCTGTATGAATTTGTATGAGGATTTAATGAAATAATGCAAGCACAGTACATAGAACAGAGCCTGATATATATATATATATATATATATATATATATATATATATATATATATATGAAAATTCAATCACTCTTAGCTATGGTTAATGTTGCTTTGTCTCCTTGTGAGAAAAAAAGAGATTCCCATAGCTCTATCTGTCCCTCAGTGTAAGTCATCTATTTCATTACATTAAATAACTAAATTTTCTAGTAGGCTGTGGTGATAAAGAAGATGTACCTTAGGGCCCCTTAAAGGATTTGTTGAGGGAAGCAGATTTATGAAAAGAGAAAAGACCTGGAAGTTAGAAGACAAAAATTTTTGCTGGATAACTAACTCATTACACGACCTTGAGCAATCTTCTTGCCTTTCTTTCATCTTTAAATTGAGGTTTAAAAAAGTCTACTGCATAAAATTATTTAAGAAAATAACTAAGACAACCCAGATATCTAAATTCAACCTGCAGTACAGACTACCCACTTTCTCGGTGCCAGTTATAAATTTCTTTTCATAAACATTAATCAAAGGTCAGAACATAAACAACATTTAGGGCAGATTATTTACAGTCTTTGCTGGCTCCTCACTCTCTCAAATATTAAAAGATCTACTCCTAGACCAAGCCAGATCATCAGAGAAATATATACCTAAATTAAATCTATTGTTCCTCCTGCAGAAAACTCATTAACAAATTACACTAGAGTGTGTTGCCAGCATACTATATTGATAGTCCTCACAAGAATAAGCCCTCCAAACATTTTATTTGCATTGTAAGGAGGCTGCCAAAAACATTTTTCATTACCTCCACAATGAATTCTTTAAGAGATCCTCTAGAGAAAGCCCGGCCTGGACTGAAGACTAAAAATGTTACAATGTGTCCTAAGTATTAGAAGCTGGTGGTTTCCAGTACAGATTTATGTTTAGAATACAAGGAACAAGCAACAGATGGATTCCTGCACTCGTTCAAAATATTTATTGAGTACCTATTATGGGCCAGACTCTCCACTAAGATCCAGAAATGCAATTCTAAAGAAAACAGGAAGCCTCTTTGCCTTCGCAGACCCAGAGAGCAGTAAGAAGGAACAAATGATTAAAGAAATGATTATAATGCAAATATGTATTATATAATGTAATGATATAGAGCAATGCTGAAAAAAGATGCTGGGTAACTAGGTAAGATGTGTTGCCTCCCTGGGTGGGCTGAGAGGCTCAAATAAAGCCAAGCTTTGACCAACAGAATAAGAGGGGCCAAGAAGAAAGCTACACACTTCCATGGAAATCAGGGAAGACAGACACAGAGACGAAAAGACTAGAAATGGGTGGATGGGTAGAGACACTGAGAACCTAACACTGTCTATACCATGACCGGAAGTGTTCTATCTATGCACTTTGCATCACTACAACAGTCTGCTTGAGTAGAATTATACTGCATAGCGTAATGGTAACTATATGGAAATGATTTAATGAGCTCCTGAAGACACCATCCTGACTTTGTGACTCTAAATGACTAAGTAGACGAAGATATCAAAGAGACAATGTTGTTTGGGATATAATCTCAGGGATTTAATGCATTAAATGGAGTCACATTAGTATAACCTATTAGTTTATTTCTATTACCACTCCCACATGAACAGAGAGAGAGCTATCCAGGCTATATTGAGATTATAAACTCCTCCTTTAAATTGAATTTTTATTCTCAAAGATGTCAGAAATTCAGAGCAAAGAATTAAATATCTAAGAGAAATTGTGACTACAAAAGTTTAATTGAGCAGTTTTAGTCATAGTCTGAGCACATACGGAAATAATATATGAGACTTGGAGGTTACGTGAGGAATTCAACGAACTTGGTACTTCATGTACTTGATAAAATAATAATAATAACCAATATTTATTGAAGGTTTATCTTGTACCAAATACTGGTTCTAAGTGTTTTCCATGTATTAACTAACAACAATCTCATATGGTAGACAGTATTGTCATTTTACAGCTGAGGAAACTGAGGCATAAAGAGACCCAGTAACATTTCCAAGGCATATGGTTGGTAAGGTCAAACCTAGTTAGTCCAACTCGAGGGTCCAGGCTCTTAGCTGCTACTGTATTCTCCAAACTTCCATCAAAGAGCATCTAAAGGAAGCTCAAAAGACTATCAGAGAACCCTGTCTCAGGCTGTACCCAGGAGTTCATCTTCTCTTCTCTGGGCCTTTATGACATGAAAATAAATGGCAATATAGTATAACAAGGGGGATCTTGTGCCCTACTCTGCCCAGAACAGCTGCTGTGTACCTGTTGTCCCAATGCCCACCAGCATCTTCCTTCACCCACAGAGTTCCAGTTTGGATAATAAGTTACATATTCCCATAAGTCCAGTGGCTAAGAAGTTATGTTCTGAACTTTGCTGGGCCTACAGTCAAAACCTAGCTTAGCCACTTACTAGCTGTGGAGTTGAGGCCAACCACTTTGCCTCAATAAGCCTCAATTTTCTCATCTACTAAATGGAAATAATAATAGTCCCTACCTCATAGCATTGTTATGAGAACTCTAGGAGCCAACACACATGAATCAATTTGTATAATCCTTAGCAATTTGTGGGAACTGAATAAAAATTCATTTTTATCAACATTAGATTAAATGTTTGAGAGGGTTTCTTATATTGGCATAATTGTGGTGGACTGCTTTGTTAACTTGAAACATCAAAGCATACCTGTGAATCTGGAGCACCTAGACAAGAACCACTATCTGTAAGGAATGTCCGATTTTTCTAAGTAAATCACTGGTACTTCAAGAAGTATCCATTCTAAAATGAAATTACAATGCTAAAGCCATTGGAAATGCAGTTTGGGTCTCAGCCACTCCCAGGGGTTTTAATCCATTCCATTCTAGGCTCCCTGGGAACCTCACTGAAATGCTAAATTTCATGGTAACACAGAGAAAGTAAGTATCCTTTGAGTTTATAATCTCTTTGGGGTACGTTTTAGCCTCTTGGGTCAGTCTAGATGCAAAGTTGTAAATTCTGGCATCATTCTGCATTCAAACACAAGCCACTGATTCACTATACTTTGTATTCAAACCCTGGAATAGCTTTAATATTCAGAAAATATCTTTTATAGGGCATCAGCATGACCACAGACCAACCCTTTTGCTGGCAATCGCAGTAACTGGCTACACGTGTTAGAACCTGCCAAAATGTTTGTCACTCAAGAAGAAAGACTCTTGAAAGACAGGCTCAGTGGACCATCGTGATGGGTTTGATAAAACCACACAGCTAGTTAGTATACATACTGAACAAATCGCCTATTTTTGCCTCATTCTTTTTATTTGTTAAATAAAGGGGTTAAATCCATTGGGGGGGGGGGAAAGCAAGGGGTTGAACCTAACATGGTCTGGTTCTGTGCCTCTTAAGAAGATTCCATCTGCTCCAGAAAAATAACCTGCTTCCCCCTTACTTTTAAAAACTCCTACTTCCTCCCATAGTAACCTATTTAATAGTATGCCTGACAGCAAGTTCTTTGCCTCCAGCCTAGCTTCCTCTCCTCATCAGGTAAACTGCCATTGGCTTTAATTAGATTTAATAAGCCACTGGGAAGTGCAGCAGAGGGAAATGGAGAGCAAAGATTATGCAGTATGGGCTTACTCTTGCATGTCCAATGCAGCATTTTCCTGGAACTCTCATATCCTCCCAGGCTGGGAAAATACAGAATGCCAAGCGCATGGAAAGAAAGGCGGCTGCTGCTGCTGTCCAAATGTGAACCGTGGGTGGAGAAAAATAGTTTAGAAAAAGAGATTGAGGGAAAAGAGAAAATGAACCCAAATCCCCAACAGCTGCAAATAACGAAGCACGTGAATCTGTTACCTTGGATGAACTCTGCTTTCCTGCTCACAGACGGCAGGGTCCTGTTGAGCCCCAGGATCCTGTCTAGGTGGAAGGCAAACACCTCACTCATGTCCAAGGGCTGCTTGAGAAGCCCACAAGGGCTAGGGCCGCAGCGGGGCACAGCGCCAGGTGCACCCCCCTCCAGCACCAGCAAGCGGGCACCGCTCTTAGAGGACACGGGCCGGAGCCCTGCCACTGCGCTGTCCGCCAAGAGTCTCATTCTTCGGATGTCATCTTTGCTCAGCCAGGAGGGGGCGCTCTCGCTGTAGATCCTAATGTTGCTCTCCCTGGCCTTGGGCTGCAGGAAGTCTGGACCCCCCGCTCGCACTCCTGGACCCCGCATCAACCTCCAGGGTCGCTCTCCAATCTTGGCCAGGTTTCCTCCCTGAGCATACCCAGGTGCTCCAGCATCAGCTTCCTGCGGCTGAAGGGATGGTCCGACCAAAGCCTCCAGCCCTGGGGCAGCTGATGCCACTGCATGCTTTTTCCTGCGCTTGGGCTTCACGGTGCCGCGAATATTGGCAGGCTTGCTGCGCTTGGAGCGTAGGGTAATGTACACCACATTGGGCTGCAGGGTGGTCCCATTGCCCTGGGACTCAGGAGGGGCCAGGGTACCATCCAGGGGTATCTCAGGGAAGGGTGCCTCGGTGGTGTGGCGGCGGCGATGTGGCCCCTTCTCGGCCGCCTGTCCGTGCTGGAGAGAGGCCCTCCCCACCTGGCTCACCAGGAAGCCCAGGTAGATGGCGCAGGCAGTGCCCAGAAGAAGGTTTCTCCGGGTCCTCGGACGCCGGCTGCTCCAGAGTTTACACACCCGTGGGAGGAACAGGGAGCAGATGAACCAGTTTATGAGCTGCCCCGGCTTGTCTGGACAGGTCATTTCTCTGCTGCATCCACATGTTGAACAGAGTTTAAAGTCTGCAGTTGGCTCCTGCTAATGTAATGCATGGTTTCCTGACTTCAGCTGCCGCGTCCGCTTCGGGATCTAAGTGGTCTCCAGTGGGTAGAAGTGGAAGGAAAGGATTGGTGATGAAGCTGAGAATGTTTCTGACACAACAAACCTTTTAAACTATCAGCCTCCCCAAGGAGAAATGCGGCTTGCTTCTGGGAATGAATGGATACAGAGTTAACTGAGTCACAATCTCAAACATTTCAGTTCCTCTACAAAAGTACAGAAAAAAAGTAATCATTTCCTTTCATAAATATCACCACTAAGTGTTTTTAAAAATAAAATTTAAAAACATGGAAACAAGATAGATGTATAGATTTGATAGTCACTTTCAAGTAGTGAAAACAAGCTACAAAAATCCAAGAGTATTTTGTAACTTGTACTTAGAGTCTTTAAGCTGATTCTAAAGCAAAAGCTTTAAAATGTGACAAACCTAGGCTTTTCCTTTTTGAAATTCAGAAATAAGGCAAGTAATTGATGATTTTTAAAACTCTATAACTAAACCATATTTATTTTTAAAGTCCTGAATTAACTAAGTACAAGCACCAAGTATTAACAATAAAATTTAGAAACATATTCTCTTAATCTAATGGTACAATTTTTTCTTTATTAATACGTTCCATTAGTTTACATTGTTAGCATAATACAAAGCCATAAATGTCCATATATCTTGGAAGCAGTTACATTTATTCTATTTCTCTCTCTTTCTATGTTTTACACACACACACACACAACACAAATCTGACTGCTTTTTATTTCTTTTCTTTCCACCGAAGTCAGCTGAAAGAAAATAAAAGCATCTCTAGATCTGTTTTTTCACTATTAAAAAGAAAAAGAAGAAACTCATAAGCAACCTTACTTACACAGCTGGCCCCATGCTTGGCTCCAAGAAGAATGTAATCCCTGACTCTAATGCAAAGAACTTTTAAAGGCTGAGGCATGTAAGTAGAACATATTTCATGGTCAAGAGTGTTCCACATTTCAAACATTTCACTTCAGCTTTAAAAGCTCCCTTGAAAACTGCTGATTGCAAAGCAAAACTTGTTAACAGATCGCTGCATGGTTTTAAGAGGTAGAAGGCTTTTGAAAACAATAGTTAACAAAACAAACTTTAGTTTTAAATTCTGAAAAAAGAAATGCCGTAGAGAATCAGTTTTCATTCAAATAACTTTCCCCTTATTCTTAACCCCTGGGAGCCCTCTAGTGTCCTGTTTGCAAACACACTCAGAAATCAGTCTCATGAAGTTCAAAAGATCGGGAGTGTTTGCTTAGCTTGGTGGAGCGGCCGCAGCCAAGTAAGTAACTTGTAAAATGAGGAATGCCATAACCCCTCGAGTATCCCACATAACTTGGGGTTAGAGCACAAGCGATCCCAGGAACTACTCACCTTACCATCTTGGCCGTTTACAGAGTAACATTTGTCTTCCACCAGTTCCAGGAAGAGAAGGCCTAGAAGTTTAGGGAAAAAGAAAAAAAAAAGGTAAGAAAGAGTTAATACAAATGAGGGGAAAAAATAGAACAGTGAGATAACAGTGCACATAGATAAGGAAAGACATTTATAGTGTGTAGTTGCACGGTGCCACAGTTCACAAAAAGAAGTCGTGGATTCTTTCTGATTGGAGGCTTTTTCAAAAAACAGGTTGGGGATTGGCCTGGGTGGTTTGCACGTCCTAGCAACAAAGGCAGGGGCTGATGACCTTGGGGGTCTCAACTGGACTATGGTAAATCGAATCAAAGAGCAAGAAGACAGAAAGGGGACAGGGATTTTTCCTCCCCACAGAGAAAGAAGGTTGTGATACTGGAGAGTGGGTAAAAGATTAGCATATGGTGTATAATCCTAAAAATATTATATTTTACAATGCAAAAAAGAGCAAGGAGTTGGAATATATACGGAGGGAGAGAATAAAATTCCAAGTGGTAACTTGACAAAAATTATAATGTGTCTGTTATTTCAGCACTCCAAACTCAGTCCTTTTTTCTTCTTTAAAAGTCCTGCCACATGGAGGAACGAGAAGGAGCCATCCCAATATTGACAGTAGCCTAAAGTACCTGCTTATTTTGGCTAAACTTTGTGAGAATTCAGGCATCAAAGCAATTTTATTTGTGCTCAAAAACTCTTAAAGCACACATTTCCATACACACAGAATTATTTTCTAGATAGGAAATGTAAACTTCTTGCAAGGAAACTATACCAAAGCTGCATTTTATAACCATCTTATTATTTTCACAGTCAGAGGAAGAAGTGACCTGGCTCTAAAAGAATTGAAAGTAAGCCTTTGGCGGAGGCCAGCTACAATAAGCAGAAGTCTCCTCTAGCTGTTTTTAGAGCTATTTTTTTTTCATGGAGAAATGCCTAGGAGGTAGGTAGAGTTGTGCGAGTTCGTAAATTTGGTTGACCTACCTTCCCACCCCCACTCCGAAAATGTCTCCTAGAAAAAGAACAATATACTGTCTCCTGCTATAGCCCCAACAGTGATTAGTGGAGGCTACACGATCTGCTCTGAACTGTGATATTCAGAGAATGGGCTGCAAAGGCAGAAAGCCTGACTTTAAGTTCTCTTCATTTACCTCTTACATGTGGTCCCCCTGTGGCAAGTAATCTTACCTCTCTAAGCCTCAGTTTCCCCCCTATGTAAGAGGAGGAAAATAACAGCACTTGCTCCATCGCTTTCTCGTGATGATTAAATGAGAGAGCGGCCTTGGAATGATCGTTTGAAATATTCAGCAATGTGTTTGTCTTTATCCCCCACGATGCCTCATTAAATCGCTTGGAGGCCCCTCTCCTCAGCCCAGGCCTCGGCAGATAGTCACCATTGCACCACAGCAAAGCTCTCATGGGAGAACTGGGGATAAGCAGCCAAGATACTGATATAACCAATACAGTGGATAAGCAGGGCTTGTCAGACATAATCAGAAAACAATGTTAGTGATTCCCCCCACTGCCCACTGAAACCTGTCCTGTGGCCTGACGCCTCTTTTCCACATTTTTAAATGGAAACTCAGGCAGGCTCCATAACTTTTCTAGTCACATTTAAATTTTTTTAAAAGTTCTCCAGCTGTTAGCCATAGACATACAGACATGTAATATACATAAACTAATTAACATGTTTGATTCTGTATCATAGTCAATTTTTTAAATTTGTTTTACATTTTCAGAATTTCTCCAGAAGACAGCAGTCCCTCAAAAAGCATAACCAAAATCTACTGAAAAGAGACAGAGGAGATGCATCTTAGATTATGTTTTGTTCCTACCTAGAGCTCTTATTCCTTAACCTGTCACCCCACTTTGAGCTTGGCTCTAGCTGTTCCAAGGTAGTGGGAAAAGAGAAGCAATAATGGCAGAAATGGCCTTCCTACTCCATTGATATTGCTGGTTTATAAGCTCTCCAGGCTTGGCAGGTGTGCAAAGCTGACTCTGCGATCAGCATCTTGCAGTCACTTCAAAGACACCACTATCAAAGCATCTCTCTGGCTGGCTGTTCATAGCCCCTCAGTCCCTTGAAATGAACTTGGTAGCCCCCTGTTCTGTTGAGATCACCTCATCTCTCCAGGCTGTTCTCTTAGGTAGCATTTAGGCAGACCCGCAGGCTGGTTTTCTCACTTGGGCCTCTTTGTACACAAGTGATCCAATGGATGTAGTCACCACCATTTGCTCCAGCATCCACAGACTTCCCGATGCAGCAACTCACCTCCCTGAGAACAGCAGATCCATATCTCATTTTGGAATGTGGAAGCAATTCCCATCAATTGCTTATGGTCTCTATTGAAAGTGAGAGGGAAGACATTTTCTGCCATCAGGTAGCATGGAATACAGAGAAGTTTAATTTCATTTTAGATAAATAAAGCAAAATTCCGTGAACAAGCATTAGTTTGAAAATTTGTTGCCACAATATAACATTCATGTGTAACTTACAATATAATCTGTGAGTGTGCATACAGAACTCAAAGCATGCATAATTATTAATATCATGAGATCAGAGAGATTAATAAGCCTCATGTCTAAAATATTTTCTCTTCTTAAAAAAATGAGGGAAATTAAGTGAAAAAGTAGACAGTAAGACAATGATAGGGCCCACTAGAATTGCCTAGAGACCTTTCCACATCTTTATGGAGGGGCAAGGATGGTGATGGAGAAACAACATGAGCCTTGACAGGATTGTGGGAATGTTCTATTTCTTCATTTAGATGGGATTTACAGAAGTATGCTTATTTTGAGGTAACACATTGACTATTCATTTATGATTTCTGTACTTTTCCATGCTTATATATAGCTTATCCTTCAATCAAATTGGAAAAGGTGGTAGGTGAGTAGCTGTTTATTTTATATTCTTTATACCTTGTATATATGTTATAAATCTATATAGAAGGAGAGTAGGACTAATAATTTATTTACAATGAAAAATACATATGACTTCAGTCATTTAAAAATTAAGTTTAAATATTAAAGAACAGTAAAATCCCTGAAGATTTTTAAAATATATGAGTGTCTAGGCCGCATCTATCTTCCCAGAGAGTCTGTATGATCTGAAGTAGGGCCCACGAATCCTACTTATAATGTGCAGAGTTATAATTCACTGTCCTATGAGTTAAATACTTAGTTCTAGAAGCAAATTAACACCTTTTACAGTTAAATGATGTCTTAGGTTTCACTGGCAATGAAGTAATCTGTAAATCCTTTCAGGCTTCCAATTATAAGATCCTAGTTTGGTCAAGGTTATTTGCCTTCAGTCTGGCACAACTCCTGGACCAGACTAGATGGTAAATCGGGCCTCATTTTTCCACCCCCAGCACTCTCATTTCCCCACTCCTGTCAGATGTCACTTGCTGCGACTGTGTAGCAGCTTGACCATCTTCCGAGAGTGCTTGGGAAAGTGAAGGACAATATTTAAGGATTTCAATCACTGAGAAGCTAAGTACTAAAGTTTTCCTTGCCGTTGTTGACCCATGCTTATTGCACAGAATGCAGACTTGCAGATGGGCACCTTGTTCCTGGTTCACTGTTGCCCAGACCCTTCCACTGGGGGTCCCTATCCGTTGCTCCTCATATTCCTGATTTCTAGGACCCATAACCCTACTACAATTATAATCCCGGCATTAGCCTAGGTTCCTGGGTACAACTTTTGCCCTACTTATTGCATGGAATTTGCTAATACCTTTGCCATCCATTCCAACAACAGGCCTGGACAGCACCAAGCTGCCCTGTCCTGCTGCTGAAAAACTTTTAAGTTAATAATCTTTGAAGTTTTGTCATAAAAGTGTTAAATAGTACTCTATACTATATCTCTTTTGAACTGTATGCAAAAGAAGTTATATTGTTATATTTTATAGAAATACGTAAATTGTTGTATTATAAAGACATGCACACATATGTTCATTGCAGCACTGTTTACAACAGCAAAGACCTGGAACCAACCCAAATGCCCATCGATGATAGACTGGACAGGGAAAATGTGGCATATATATACCATGGAACACTATGCAGCCATAAAAAACAATGAGTTCGTGTCCTTTGTAGGGACATAGATGAATCTGGAAACCATCATTCTGAGCAAAGTGACACAAGAACAGAAAATCAAACACTGCATGTTTTCACTCATAGGTGTGTGAACAATAAGAACACATGGACACAGGAAGGGGAGCATCATACACTGGGGTCTGTGGTGGGGCTAGGGGAGGGACAGTAGGGGGTGAGGAGGTTGGGGAGGGATAACATGAGGAGAAATCCCAGATATAGGTGATGGGGGGATGGAGGCAGCAAACCACATTGCCATGTATGTACCTATGCAACAATCCTGCATGATCTGCACATGTACCCCAGAACCTAAAGTACAATAGAAATAAATAAATAATTAAATATGTTCACTTTTATCTGACACTTGATTGCTTACCCCTAAGGACATCATTTCTGTTGACCTACACTAGCACATCTATTTGCAGCAGGAGAAGCACTTTTGGAGAAAATCACCTGTCCCCTAATAACTGGTCTTACAAATCTATGAAGTAACATTAAGTGCCATAGCTAATCACTCATATATGACCAAGAGAACACCAAACAGGCATATTTCCAGCAGATAAAATGCCTAGCACTGCATAGTATTAGATATTCTCTCCTCTGTCTGCTATTATACCATGCACTGTCCTCTGTTTTCCTGGTAGGGAAATCTTCTGCAATAATCAATTTGCCTCACTTCCCTAGAAAGGCTTGTCTGTGTTAGGATGGTTCTGCCACGTGACCAGAAACTGAGCAATGTTTGCATGAACATATCACGATATGGTAAACAGATAAAATGTCTGACAGCCAATTTGACATATATTTCAAATGATAAATATTTATAAAGTTATTATTTCACTTAGTAATTAGGTGAGTTATGCATGTTAGAATAATTTGCATTTGTTTTATAGTTCTAAAGCCTGACAATTCATAGAGTCATCATAGAATAAAGAATTAGGAAAACTGGAGGTTGCCCTGGATTTCTTCAAAAATCCCCCACACAATCTAGACAACTAAGCTTCTCTGTTTCAGAAGTGGGCACTCAATGTTTCTGTACTCTG